CCACAACCACAACCACAACCACAACAACAACAACAACAACAACAACACCAACACCAACAGCAACGGCAACGGCAACAGCAACAACAACAACAACAACACCAACACCAACAGCAACAGCAACAGCAACAGCAACCACAACAACAACAACAACAACAACAACAACACCAACAGCAACAGCAACAGCAACAACAACACCAACACCAACAGCAACAGCAACAGCAACAACAACAACAACAACAACAACAACAACAACAACTTCACCTTGTTTCCAGCTCCCAGCGATCCAGCACATTGATTGGGCCGAGGATGTTCGTCTCAAGCTTGCTTGGTTGAGATAAGTGGAACATATTTGGTGTGCCAACTTGGTGGTGTTGGATGAACAATTACATTCCTGTGAGACCAAGAAGCAGTACATGGCGCAGGATTTGTTTGAGCAAGATGAATTTACACCGCCTCGCGGCGAAGACCGCCCGCACGGATACTTGTGCTTTCTGAGCCAGGTTGATGCGACCCGACATTGCGCGACTATGCTGGTACCTATCTTAGGTGTGTTGCACTCAATCAGCCTCAATCGGGAAATCCGCAGGTACAAACATGCACACGCTTTCATTGATGCAATTGCATTCGGGTAGGATAACTCACATTATCAATAGTTTTTTCGTTTCTCTTTCGGGAAGGCCACAGCAGGCACACACACACGATGTTATTAACGCATTATCACTCGGGCAGCATAACCGACATCACCAACAATTCGCTCGTTTTCATCATTTTTTTAAAACTCATAAACAGCACTGCATTCTAGTGCAAAAACGACCCCCCAAACTAAAGCTGGATGAACTATCTAGCAATTCTAGCGGCTTATGCGATCTACCGAAACGAGTGAGTTCCTTTGGGCTGACAATCCTTTGGACGTCCAAACTCGCCTGGAAGACTCCCTGTGTTCGACCGAGTCTTGTCAAGTGAGCCCCCATCACAAGGATGACAGATCAAGGGAGTCGTGAGTTCTGCACCAGTTGACACTTTGGACATAACCGTGCCTATGCGATGGGGTCTTTAGTGAAGTGGCCAAATTAAGAACTTCAGTGCAAAGGACCCCCCTATCCACCAAAGAGCAGCGCCTTTGTCATTAGTGGCGACGCACTTGTCAGGAGCAGCAGCATTATTTCAATTGCCCCTACCAGCTGGTGTGCTTGCCTGAAGACCTGCGACACGGCCTCGCTGGCGGGGACGTGCCGCACAGTTGCGACACCTACCACACCCAGGTCAGCGGGAACGACGACGGCGAACGGAACGAACGGTTGGTGGGTGGCACCGATTTGGGGGTCCGGTCAGGGGGAGGCAGTTGAGTTGGCCAGGTATATAAGGCTATGGTGATAGAGTTGATGGATTTTTAACGCTACAGCAAGAACCATATAAACCCTCATCTCTTTCTTGTGAGAGATAGTTTTTTGAATGAGTTTGGAACTACACCATCTGTGTGTTTAATTCAAGAATGGGCATACTTTGATCAACTAGCGCCTTCCCAGACAAATGTTCTTTTGGGAAGATTGTGGACTTGACTGTTGAGCGAAGGAGATTGAAACTGAAGATTCGCGACTTTCACAGGGCTCGTGAATCCCCCCGGTGCTCGTTACTGACAGGGCGATCAGAGGCATTACCGCGGTTCCACCACCGCGTTCTGTGCTCGTCCATGGTCGTTCTTCGGTCACGAAAATGGTCCTGAACACCAGAAGGTGCGGCTGGGGGACTTGTTGGTCTTTGCGACGGATGGTTTTCTGGACAACGTTTGGAAAGAGCAGACCATGGAGGCGACAGCGAGCTGAGGGGGAGGAAGCTCTATTCCAGCGGCCAGCTGGGGAGCTGTTTGAGGTATCGGTATGGGCGTTATGGATATTCGACCCATTGGAAGAAGGGAAATACACCAGTCAGTCTGCTTTTGGGGATGAGTCAAGGAGCTCTGCGGGGGCAAGAGATTAGGGGAAAGGATCAACTTGAAATAGATGAGCCAAGAGTTCGGGGTTCATGCATGCATGCGGAAGATCCGTTGGAAAGGGGAGGAATCTCCTGTTCTCCTTGATTTGCTTCGCTCTCCCTGCATTGTCGGACACGGCCAAGTGGACACAACAAACTGCGTTGCGGTGGCGCTTGGTACGCACGCCGAACAATATGAGCTGTGCTGATTTTCGAGTATTTGTTCACTTGTTTGTCCAACCAACCGGCAGCTCAGCTCACCAAGCAGCAATCACGATTGCATTGAAAAGAAACTCCCTGACCAATGAAAATGGGCGTTGCATCGTTTCTGGCTCCAGCCAAGCTACGAGGACAAGGACTCTGTTTATACGTAGGATTCCCTTTTCCTTGGATTGGGCAGTTTTGGAATTTCTATTCCGGCACAGGATTGGCCTATCAACAGCACCAGGGGTTGCAGCCATGGGTTTTGACCCTGACTCTGCGTCAAGGCCTCTACCAAGCTCCTATAGTGTGCACATTCCTGCCGAAGCTCCGACCTCGGCACGCGCGAGCATGCGCCGAGGTGTTGAGGTCCATGTCGTCAGCACCGGTGGAGCAGATCGCGCAGCGACTGGTGGAGATGGCCTACGCCCAATCACACTCCCTACAGGCGGAGCGTGGGCGAAGGGGAGTTCGGCCTCGGCAATTCGGTGATGTCGAGAGACTGGAGACGGGAAAACACTGGGGCGGTGGCAGGTGGGTGAAATGAATTTCACGTGTGGTTGATGTAGGTTGTAACTTGTAATATGTTCTTATAACATATATCACATATATTATGCATTATTGGAACGACATCTTAAAGTATTCTTTGTGTCAGTCATATGCCAGTGGCCTCCTGAGAGGGTTGGGTTCATCCTCTTAGGAATCAATTCGTCGATGTGGCATGTGGGAGTCCCGTATTCTACACTGGTATTGCCACCGAACTGACTCGTAAAGCTGATGGAGGCCATCCTGTTTGTAGCACTTCACGCTTTCGGGATATCGTCGGACATTCCCCTGACACATTTTTTCACTTGCTGAGCTGAGTTTTTGGCGCGATCTGCGGTCCTCCGCAAGTTCATCCCACTCAATCCCCGAAATCGCCCGCGAACAGATTTCGCGTCGTGCCGTGACGTGTCCTGCCCAGGAGAGCCCCTTCAGCGCTTCTGCTGCCAAGCACGGCTTTCGCCACCGTGGTGGAAAGCCCGACGACATCACGGTGCTGGTGGCCCGCATCGTCTCGGGCGGCCCTCGCCCAGTGGGCTAGCTGACGTGCACGTTGAAAGGCGGAGAAAATGGGCCTGCAAGAAAGGCTGGGGGAGGAGTTGAGCTTATAGAACGTTTTTAGAAGCATTGCACTGTGTGAGTGAAATACAGGCATGCGAGCGTAATGCTTACAACAAACGCCTTTCAAGAATTGGTTCATCCATCGCTGCAAAGACCGAGCTTGGACGAAATGACTGCACGCAGAAAAACTTGGGAAGTACCAAGACCATCCAAGACCCATGTTATTTTTTCCCATAGTGAGTGAGGCCTGACAATACAGGGGCCGGATTCTTTCTCAAGCCAATGACCCATAATTAGTCCTACTTGTATATGGATCACGGGTGTCAAGAAATAAGCTTGACCGTATGATCGTCCTTGATCGTCTAATGGTCACCCCGACTGCTGAAGGTGTAGTGAGAAAAATCTGAGAACTTTCAAGTGTAGTCCCACATGTAAGTTCTTAGATTTTTCTCACTAGACCTGTAAACGGTCATGGCTGGGACATGTAAAACCGTAATTAGATTTTACATCTTACCTACTCGTAGTTCCACTGATGGCTTGTAGAACTTTACATGTCAAAGGACCATGGATGGCTCGCGGCAACTGGGCTTGCAGCGAGCCATCCTTCTTCGCGGGCCATGACACTCGACAGTGCGGTCCCAGGCGACGGAGCTCAGGCGTGGCGTCGGAGCGCGGAGAAGATGAGCTTCACTGGAGAAATGCGGACTGCATGGAATGCATGGAATTCTTTGTTCTTTGGAATGAATTCTGAGGGACAATGGTATTCAATTGTAAATAGAATTCGGCATAGGTATTGATCCCCGTTGAATCTATATTTTTGATTACCTGTTTTTTTTTTGATCCCTTACCCATAGAATTCACCCTTAACATCAAATTCATGTTGCTTTCGGACACTCACCAGAACCATCTGCCGGTGGACGACGCATCCCCGCATCTCTTCCGACCGCTTCGGGCGACGAAGCACCGAGTTCCCCGTGACGTTCGTTGACCTGGTCGAAGTTGTGGTCTCCTGTGTCGAGTAACTCCGTCAAACAATGGTTAGTTTGGGGATTCAGACCCTTAAAACTATCATAAACGATACTACAGAATGCTATATAATACATAAGGATTGGAAGGAATCCCAGGCTTCAGGATCTGAAAGAGTCGCATCCGCGTTGGCGAACGGTCTCCGGGGCAAATGTGTATTTGGCTGAGATTCTTGGATGGCAAACACCTTCAGTTTCAGATCTATCATCTTAGATCATTCCAGTCTGCCAGGTGCGGGGGCAAGACCTAGTTGGAGAGTCGGGTGCATGTGTGTATTTTTTTGCTGGTGAACATGATGAGGCAGCCAGATGGTTCCTGAGATCATGTTCTTCGGTGTCCGTTCCGACCTTTTCACCCGAGCCGAGCCAAGAGGGTCCGAGAACTGGTCTGGCTGGTCTCATCTGGTCTCCTTCGTTCGAGAAGCTGAAAGGCTGGTCTCGTTGTTGGTCTCGTTGTTCTTCGCGCCCAGCCGGGCGGAGCGGAGCGAAATTCGCGTGGCCTGACCCGAATCATCCCAATCTATTGGACAAAATCTTTCCAACGAGAGCATTCTGCACCGGCTTGTGGAGGCAGGAGGAGGGCGAGGCCAGGGAGGTTTTCGGAGTGTTTTCGGAGTTTGGAGGATGAGTGAGTTTGATTTGGTGGAGTTCTGGAAGTTCAAGCCTGGAAATCAGTATTGTAACTGCTAGAGTTACTCTCATTTTTGAGGACCAATGAGACCATGATCTGGTATCCAGTGGGCAAACCCCTCGATGTCAGTCATATGTTGCTCCGAGCAGGATGAGGTTCACGGGCCTCGCATCTTGCCGTGCATTTCTCCTGCAACTCTTCATGCGGACCGACCGTATCCACTGTCAACAAAGGACATCAACGGAGTTTGGACCAAACACCAAAGTGGCCTCAAAATCCGGGTAAGTCCAACACAGTCAATGAAGAAACTCGTTAGGGGTCGTTGCTGTGGGGTGGGAGGTTGATGATCTGGAATTCCTTAGGTTTTCATGAGCTTTGATTAGCTTTTGATTGGTTTTCATTAGGGTTTGATGGAGTTCCTTTAGTATGGAATTTGGGGCAACCACTGCTGAAGAATCATCATTTGAAGCAGTACTAGTAGCAGCTCCCTGAAATTACCAACTTTATCCACTTTTAAAGGCATCCCAACGGAATCCGAACGTTTGGAGTCCAACGGGTTAGGTCCCTACACGATGTGGGCGGATGTGGTTGTGCCTGAAAATAGAGACCTCTCAAAGACATTCAAAGACCCCCTGGAAGAAGGAAAATAGACTCACCAGACATCGGGCTTCGGGTTCTCCCCGGACAAAATACACCAATGTTGAAGTTTTGAAGTATTAATCCTTTAGATTCCTTGGTACTACTACTTGTACTCCTACTACTGCTGCTGCTACTACTACTACCACCACCACGACCACCACTACCACGACCACTACGACTACTACTACTACTACTACTACTACTACTACTCCTACTACTACTCCTCCTCCTGCTGCTGCTGCTGCTGCTGGCATCCAAATCCACGAGGTCTCTCTAGTTGGATAAGCCGCTGCACAAGACTCTTCGTAAAAAGGCTTTCCACATGCCGCCGATCCCCTGCACCGATCCACCGATCCGCTGGCGGGAGGCGTTACGCCATGGCTTGGACTGCGCCTTCACCGAGGACAGACCGATGACCCGGTGGATTAGTGCTGACCGATGGGCAGCGGCATGGGGTGCTCAGAATGGCATCCGAAGATGTGGAGAAGATCTTGACATGGCCATTTTGGGTGAAAGATGCCCTGTGGTGCAAGGTGTGAAACCCACGGGGTTTAGTGTTCTTTCGCTTCATTTTGGAGGACCATCAGGGCCGAGCGACTTGTCGCGGAGCCGCGTCGTTTCATGACAAAGCCGAGCCGAGGCTGAAAGAAACAGCCGAAACGGGTTCGGTCCAACAAAGTCTTGGAACTTCAAAGATGGATTCCTTGGTGGAAACCATACAAGGACGACTGGTTACCAGATATGGTAACCGTACCTTGATGGTTACCAGATATGGTAACCGTACGATGGATTCGTGTTTGGTGTGGTTTTGCATAACGTTGAAACATTTCTTCTTGTTTTGAAACACTCCTTCTTGTTTTCTATACTAATGATATACAGTAATATGTTAGTGATTTCAGTAGTTCCCCATATCCTCATAAGTAAAAGATAGGAAACATATGACCAGTGCATCACGTCTTTTTTGAAGCGCACAAGCGTGCGACATCGGAAGAATGAAACGGAAAACAACATCCCTCCCATGGCCCCTACCACCTCCGGCATCCTGATCCTCGGGAGTCCTCGGGCGTCTCGGCAGGACCGGGTGGATTGGCCCCGAATCTTGGGAGCCCTTCACGACGTGTCGCTGAACTATTCCCATTCCTCGGCAGGGGTGCCCGGGGAAGGATGGGGATGGATTGAGGGAGGTGGAGGTGCCGAAGAGCAATGTGGAATCATGTGGCATATATCTCATATAGTTTTTTACTAATTTAGATATTATGATTTTTGAACTCAATCTCTATGATTAGATGAGAATGAACATGAACAAACATATTGTACACATCACGTGGGTCAATTGAAAGCACCCCAAGCATGGAAGACGATGTTGAAAGCGCCCCAAGCATGGAAGACGATGTTTCCACATTTTCCAGAGATCCAGGGGTGGGTTCAGAGTGTTTGCTTCTGGTCAACAGCCAAGGTGCCAGAACCAAGTCATCCCAAGTCTGATGTTCCTTCCCCGGGTGTGATGGTGTTCCTCTTTTCCTCCTCTCTTGACTTGGAGGTTGGAGTCTTTTTCCTCTGAAAGCAGGAGTCGAGGTCTTCGTTGTTTGAGCTTTGTACGCTCACCGTACTCCACACGAATCCTTTGGTCCTTTGGAGTGGAGAGACGAAGCAGCACGAATCCCATGTGGGGAATGACCCCCATCCAGATGTTTGTCCCATTTGTACAAGAAAGGACCCAGTCTAAAGGATCCCACTCCAATAAGGACTGACCCTAGGGGTTGAGTCGGAGGCTTTGAAGCCAAGATGATGCAGACGCGCGGCTCCAGTCTAAAGGATCCCGTAGCAACAGTCGTGCGATCCGTGCCGATAGGGAGCCGGTCGGAACGAAGCCGTTGGCCGGTCGTCAGGTCGTTGGGGAGGCGTAGATTTACAAAGGGAGACCTGGCCCAAGGGTCGTTTGGGTATGTTTGGGTGGATCATCCTATGTCATCTTCATGTTTGAGGGAGGTTTTCGACTTCGATGCGAAAACAGATCCTGAAGAGGAGCGTTGGACTGCACAGTGTTCGACTCGATGAAGAATTCGGACGACTTGGGAATTCTCGGACCCAATGATTCACTGGACATAGCAGGTGACTCTCCGTGGAATGCGTGCCCGGCGTGCCTTAGGTGGATGGAACATGGCCCCGATTTCGGATGACCATGTTCCGAATACCAAAGAGTGGGTGAAATCCACTTCGATGACGATTTCAGGGAGTGTAGGATTATTGACCCTGCCTTGCCCTGCCATGTAGGTCAATCAAGGTATCCTGGTGCCACTCGACCAACAGCACGCGGTCCCTCGTCGCCTGAGGTCATGATCACTGCAGTGACTTGGTCCCAAAGGCAGAGATCAGAGGGGTTGGCTTCACATAGTGAGTCTTCTCTCCCCAAATTTGCAGGTCGGAGTGGTCTGCTTTCACCAGGTTTTGGATGTATTCCATCATCATCACTGGCGTCGTCGTCATGAAATTGAGTCTGCAATGTCGGAATGCGGAGCTATTGAAGAAACATAGGATTCACTTGGTGGGAAGTGGGAAGGTTTCATTTGGATGACCATTTGCCCAAACTTGGAGCCAAGAGGTCGAGTAGCTTGCGCCACAGACCTCCTTGCGCACGCCTAGGGCCAGTTGTACGCCCAGCTGGAGGGCGACCGTGAACGAGTGACTGGGGCAGAAAGCATTGCTGGTCACAAACGACCCGCGCATGGATCAGATCTCTTTTTTGTTCGCTTCCTGTTTGGGATGTCCAATCAAAAAAGACCGACCTAAGTTGTGACTTGGGTTTGTGAAATTGGGTGACTCCAAATGGAAGCAGCTGGTAGTGTGTTCTGCTTTTGGAGTAAGGGAAGAAAACCATATCCAACGAGTTCTCCTTTTGATCGAAACGAGTTTTCACCCCCGAGCCGACCACTCGTCCAGAAACCAAGAACAGGAGCCTCTTTTTGGAAGCGGGAGAGTGGAACTGACCTGCAGGTGCCACAGGCCACGGGGCCACCCGCTGGTCAGTTCACTGCACACCCGATTTTTGGACTTCTCGTTGACTCATTGTGTTATTGCTGTGGTATGTCATGAACTTGCAAGGCCGAACCTGGCTTCTGACGGATGCAACGGTGGCCCAAATGGCTTCATGCATATTTATATAGATGGATTCAACTCGACCTTCTTTCACAAATTTCGCCTGCACAAAATTGTACATTATTTATACCCACAATGTGTTAAATGGCCTTCTTGGAACGAAGGACGCAGCAGTGCTATGCCGAGTCTTCCAGGTTTCCACCACAGGGGCCAGGGCGGCCAGGGGGTTTGCATGTGGTGCTGAGTAGTGTTAGTGTGAGGGGTGTTGAGCAGTGCTGGTTGTTGTTTGTGGCCCATGGCGACATTTTCAGACCTCGATCAAATCAAGAACGCCTGTTTCCTCTCGAAGTTTGTTTTTTCCGTACTTACTACTGATGCTTTTCTTACTGTATAATTGATGTTCATTTTAGTATGGTTTTCTGTTGATTGGAACTCTCCCATCTTTGGGGAGATCTGAAACGACCTTTGGACATAACTAGCATGAATCATGTACTTTTAATAGAGATCTATGGACTGTAGTTTTTTTGTTTTCATTTACCTTTTGCTTTTTTTTCTTTGTGGCCAATTAGGGCAGCTATTGGGAATGTGCATGTGTGCTTTCGATTGATGCCAGCATGGACTATTCAGATCCATTCAGGGTTTGTGCTCTGGAAACCTCTTATTGTGGACCAACCCAACAAATCCATTGGGTTTAGGGTCAAAAACAGGTATTCCCACGATCAAAAGCACTTCGATTTCGTTGGTCGCGCCTTTCAAAAGGTGCGACAGGGTTTGCCTCTCCCGGTGGTTCGTCTGAGGAACCCGGTTTCGCAGTGTTCTCCCGATGATGGGGGAAGGAAGAGGTGATCCGACATCTTGGTACCATCCAAGTCAATGCCTCCAAGTGTCCTAGCAACCTTGAAACAACACACACGAGAGAAAGCAATCCGTGGGGGAGCAACTGCAGACCACGAAGCTGTTCGCTGTAACCCCCGAATCTGCAGTCCATTGGAAAGATCACACCAACACTCAAGACGAATGCGCGGGTGTTGGTAGTTTTTGCCACTTCAAGATGTTTGTTTCTCTTTTGTCCCCAAGCAGTGTGGACACACGTTCTTATGGTATCTTACGGTTTATGGGTTACTTTTCACACGGTCAATGGTTTTTGTTGGTCCGTTTTATGGATGCTTGTCATTCCAAATCATCAACTGTCCCCCCCGTCTTCGGATTCCACCGGTCCACCGGTGGACCCGTGGACCCTGCTCAGGACCCTGCTGCCGATGGGTGCTGGATTGGGCGCGGTGGGGCGGGAAGGTGTTTGGATGAACACACTTCACAGCCCTAAGACACTCACCCAAGACACCCATTCAATGAGACACTGAAGGTGGACACCCACCCAATGAGAAAAGGGAAACCGACAGGGCCGCTGCCGATGAACCATGAACGAAAGGTCCATGGAAGCCGGGTGAACACGTCGAACCGGTTTTGGGAGTTGGTGCCACCACCGCTGCGGACGTCGTTGAACCGCGAGAGCGGTGGGTTTTGCCTGGATCTCATGGGCTGAATGAAGCCAGGAGCCTGGTGAGCATGGTCCTTTCCGATCAGAGGTGATGTCTCCGGGTGATGGATCGTTGGTTGGGACCATAGGTTTTCTGAACCACACAAATCGTTCTTGAGGGCGTGTTGCACGTTGGAAGGACATGGAAGAAAAGGGGAGGGATTTTGTACCAGCCTATAAACAGAGTTTTGCCATGAGCCCCATTTATCTTGGTTTGGAAAAACAACGCATACACTGGACCTAATTCCAGAAGGCCCGCTTTTCCACATGAACCAGCTCTAGAATTTGCTTCCAGAATATGTGTCTTTACGACACCAGACACAACCACCAACTCTTGTCCATCCATTTCGTATCATATATTGGCATCTATATAGATTTTAACAAGTTAACAGCAGGATCAACAAGAAACAAGAACAGGATGAACAACATAATCCTTAGTAGGTCCCCTTGTTCATTCCCTGGTCCTTTTCCTGCTCATGCTGGCCTCGTGGTTCATTGTTTTGCACAATTCATGATTGCGAATACGGCGCGACCTCTGCAAAAATAAGGCAACCGTTTGCCATGGTCACGGTCCTTGTGTCACTTTCTGGTTGCCCTTCATTGATGTGGCAATGGGGTGTGTAGTTTTCAATGATGATCTATTTTGTGGTGCAGTCTGGTGGCGTTTGATTTTTGGTTTGCTCTGTGGGGAGACGCTGCGCCCTGCCCCCCAACTCCCCTCCAGCGCCACAAAATCTATGCTTTTGTTAAAGCACTGTCCTGCCACGACCGTTTCTTTTCAAGCTGACCCGTGGCATCTCAACAAATTGTTGCATGCCCTCTGGTGCATGATGGGGCCCCCACCTTCACTGTGTCCAGCATGTCCATTCCAATACGTTGTCCTTTTGTCGCCCGCCCTGCTGCGGTGGTCCTTTCCCTAGTCTCTTTGTCCTTTCATGGCTCACTGGGAAGATGTTTGTCTGTCCTTCGTTTTTGGATCAGCCGTCGTTGATTTGTTTTTGATGCCCTTCTTATTTTGTTGGATCCCCCACCCTCCTGGGACCATCAAGTGCCAGTCGCATGGGAAGAACGCCACGCGTGGGACCGACTCGACTCGAATGGATCCACGATGAAGATCTTTTCGAAATTAACTGTGAGCACTTAGTATACTGTTAAACACCAACATGTTGACATTCATCTCCCTGAAGGTCACTAGCAAATCCCCCCTTGAACTCATTCAACAATTGAACAATAGATTGTTTATACCCACTTACTTCTTAGTTTTTTTGTTTTGCAACTTACTTCTTAGTTTGTCCGAGGCCTCATTTCAGGTATCCGTGTGACCACGGGAGCTTTTTGGGAACATAGCTTATATCTCTGAGTAGAGTATTGTCTGGTAGGCAAAGACACAACGAACATCAAACAAATCATTCTTTCGAGTGTGACTTGATGCCCAGCATCATTGTCAGAAATTGAGAGGTCTTCCACGACAATCCGCCTCTGATTCCCAGATATCGGAGCAGTCTGATTGGCGTCACGAGTCATGAGTAAAGCCCCAATTGGAAGGATCCAGTTCCAAAGGCCCAGTTCTGAGTGGAGGACCATGTGTTGGATTTTTTCAAGGGGAGGCTTCTCTTTCCCGCGCCTTCAACATTTAAACGCGCGCACCCGTACGCGAGAGGGTCTTCACGGTGAAGTTGGTGGTGCGGGCACCCGATGTCCCCTCGCGCTGTGCGCGTGGGTGTTGAAGCCGGGGGGCGGGAGGGGACGGACAAAAGCAGAAGGACCGGGTTAGGTACACTCGCGAGTCCACTCACATAGACCCTGACGTCGCCTCCTGGGTCCGATGGTTTTCCGACGTGGTGTTACTCAGGGTGTGGATCGTCGCCACCAGGGTGTAACCGGGGGCTTCAGGATGCTTCAGGTGACCGAAGACGACTCGCTTCGACCACGAAACGGAGGGTGACATGCGGAGACAGGGCCTGAAGGACCGAAGCATAGACGACGTCTAGACAGCGTGGTGATGCAATGGACTGTGACACGTTGGTGACTGAATGTCATAGTCATCCCCACGGCTCAGCCGTTCCAATGTCCACGGGGTCAACTCTCTTGTGGCACAAGAGATACCCATGTTGGTGCCCTGGATCGCCGGAATTGATCTTGGGTCTCGCCAGTCATCCCGCCTGGGCCTGGTGCGGCCTACTTTCAACGGTTGTATAACAGACTTCGACCGTTTCCCATTTCGACCGTTTGTGCGAGCACGGATAAACCTCCTGAGGTGGTGTTGCTGACCTTGCACCATGAGAAGATCTTTCTGGAAGGTGTCCATGACGACCGCCTCCAAGCAGGCCGGTGTTTGGTGCAAAGGCCATCGATTTCGCCATGAAAACCAAGGCGGCCGGGTGTAGTACGACGCTCGGGTGCGGCTCAAGGGTGCCCGGCTGACAGACCGACACCTGACGTTCCGACCACCCCTGCGTTTGGTTCGGACAATCGACCAACAGCATCCATCCCCCCCATGGAGGTTGGTTGGACCGGTCTTCCCTGTTTACTTCCACCGGTTCCGACCGGATCAGAGACGACCGGCTCGAGCCGAGTCAAGGAGGGCCCGAAGGAGGGCCGCTTTTTCAGGTTAGAAAGGTGTCCATGCAGCCAATGGTCAGGAGATGTCAGGAGACCCAGGTTCAAGAGTTGGTGAGCCAATGAGTTCGAGTCGGTTCGAGTTAGGGATCCGACTAGGGTCCTTCTTTCCGGTGCGTCTCTAAGGATTCGAGCAAGAATCCTGGTGACATGGTCCCCATGTTTTCATCGTTTCTCTCCCACCCTTGTAGATTTGGTTTTGGGACTCTAACAGACTCGTTGTTTCTGCGTAAACTCACTTCGGAGGCGCCGCTTTTCGGGGACGTCTCTGCATATGTCCCATCTCTCCCAGAGTCCTTCGGCGCGCGAGGCTTTCAGCATCTGAAGGACGTGTCCCTGGTGCTGTGGCCCAGTGTCCGCTGGAGGGTGGTGCATAGATAGGCTTGATCGCTTCCAAGAGAGAATCGATTGTAGATTGATTACACTCGATTACATTCGATTGAGAAGGACTGGAGGCTTTCGACGAAGCAAGTTCTCTTTTCCTGGACGAAGCACATTCTGCGCGAGCCACTTCGTCGACGACATCGACCGCTTTGAAGAACTGGAAGCACCAGAGGCTCCTGCGCCAAAGTCTGCTTATAAGATCTTATAAGGGTCGGGTGAGCTCAAAGACCATGAACATGGGGCTGGTCTTGGTTCCCCAGAGGGAATTCCGCTGCATACCATGAAGTCATCCGATACTACAGTGCAAAATCTGGATGAATAATGATGAATATATAAACCCAGCTCTATTTTGGACCACCAACCATCCATTTTTTCATGGTCAATCAGAGGTCAAAAGTCAAAACGGGTTCCGGTATACATATTATATATATAAGAGAGTCATGGAGACCAAAGCCTTTCGGTATAGACCGACCGATCTCCCTTTGCTTCCTACCTCCCTTCGCAGACATCGAAACCAAACGCGTTCAGGTGCATTTGCTCCGATCTCCCTTTGCGTTCAGCCTCTTGCAGGCGACATGGAAGAAAACAATCGAAACGGAGAGAGTTTTGTGTGTTTAGCCAAAGAGTGTGGTAACACTAGGGGTTCTTATGGTAGATATTCATTTTAAGTTAAGGCCAGGCCGAGTTTATTGAAACAAAAGTGACATGAGAACGTGAGCTTGATGGGGTTCTTCCTGGCATAGAGAAAGTGACATGAGCTAGCTCATGAGCTGACATGAGAAGGGGATTAGGATCTTGTCCAAAGTACCTTCGAAGTTCCGATCCACATGGCTGGAATAAACCTGGTTTTCTCTCAATCTGACGGCAACATACGGTTTGTCCCAACAGGGGGTCAATCTTCGACCCAGTGCTGTTCACATTTGGAGACCCAGTCAGCTACCTCGGCAAGATCTAACACCTCAGTCTGCAGGTCGGTGTGTGTTTCCTGTGTGTGTTTTGCTGGGCTGAACGAAGCGAGCGAAAAGAGCAAAGCCCGTAGGTTCCTACCACCTCAACAGATTCATTCTCAAAGATCTGAAGCCTCATGCGACCATGGGGCCCCTTGAGAGGTTTTTTTTGGGACCTTAGCTGGGACCAGGAAAAGGGACCTTAAGCTGGGATAGGCACCCCAAGCTGGATTGCTCAACCTTTTGAATTCTCACGAAAGGACACTGAGACTCGCCAAGATGGAAGTGGATGGCACCCCCTGTTTTGAGGAGTTGGTTGTCTTCCTTGGGATCACGCCATCCACTTCCATGTTAGTCAGCCGCATGGAGTTGGAGCTTGCACATCATATCCACCTTTCTTTGGGACTTGTGGCAATCCACTAGCGGAGACACCGGGATAGTCTTCTTACTGCGTCGCATTGTCGCGCGTGGCGCAGAGTGACTTGATGCAAATGCGTGAGTTCTTGAAGCTCGAAACTGACATGGAACCGGCCTTCTTGGGTGAGGTAGCAGCTACCTCGGGTAGCTCAACAAAAGCTGCTCACAGAAATTGAAACGACTCCAAGATTGCAAGTGTTTGTTCCACCTGTTCCACCAGTCGCCATGTTTGATAGAGGCTCTTCAGATAAATACAGCCCGATCGACCCAGATTTCTTCCAGTGAGGGCCTCATCAATCAACTGCAAGCGGGCAAGCAACCGTTGGGTTTGGATGGAACAATTTAAACGTGCCAAGAATCTCCCGGAAAACGGACAACAACCCCCTGGACATGTCCACCATGGAGACCGGAAGAGAAGGGCTGCCATGGTGCAAGAACGAACCAGCCACACGTCGAACGTTTGAAGCCGATGATCGGATCACTGATGCCTCCCACGTCTGTTACGAAAGCCAGCCTTCGTAGAAGGCGCCAGCTGAGTTGTGCTTGGCGAACGAAGTGAGTAGTTACGGGGTCTGGGGGGGCCTGGCCCGCAAAAGGTACACGTAAACTCGGCACATGCTGGGGGAGGAGGGTGGACGGATGGAACGTTTTTTGAGGTTGTGTTGGAGGTGATTTTTGAGGGGTGGTGATGCAAGAAATGCAATTTGCATCATTTGCATCATGGTAAGGTGTAGTTGGCACCTTGTCAGGTATAGATACCCAGGGTAGCTATAGTGCAGTTATCAGGTATAGTACTTCAAGTTCCCTTTCCATCAACCGCTCGATAACCTTTACACACGCACACCAATCCGCAGCTTTGAAGTCTCATGCGCGCGATACCTAGGAACAGAATTGTAGCTACCCTGGGTCCGTATAAATGCTATGTTGCTATACCTCTTACACACCTATATGAGATCAAAGCACGAATGAGACTTCAAAGCTGTGGTTTGCTGTGCATGTGTAAAGGTTATCGAGCGGTTGACGGAAAGCGAACTGGAAGTACTCTACCTGGCAACTGAATTGTAGCTACCCTGGGTATCTATACCTGGCAAGGCGCCAGCTGAGTAAGAAGGGGGGTTCGGGGGGGTGGCCTGAGAAAGCACACTCGAAAGTAGGTGGTGTGTAGGGGTGCACGGAAGCAAGGTTTTGGAGGTGCTTTTTTGTGATTTTAAGAAATTGTCTTCGGTTGGTTGCAATGCTAGACTTGGCAACTGAATTGTAGCTACCTGGGTATACCTGGCACCTGCCTTGTAGCTGCCCTGGGTCCGCGCGCGCGCGCCTCAATCACGGGCAGCCGGGAGCCAGCAAGGCGCGCGCGCTCGGACCCAGGGTAGGTGAAGTGGGATACCTGGCAACAGAATTGTAGCTACCCTGGGTCCGTATAGATGCTATGTTGCTATACCTCTTGCACACCTATATAAGTTCAATGCAAGAATGAGACTTCAAAGCTGTGGATTGCTGTGCGTGTGTAAAGGTTATCGAGCGGTTGACGGAAAGGGAACTTGAAGTACTATACCTGGCAACTGAATTGTAGTTATTCTGGGTATCTATACCTGCGCCAGCTGAGTAAGAAGGGGGGTTCGGGGGGGTGGCCTGAGAAAGCACACTCGAAAGTAAAAACGCTGGCTTTCGTTTTGCAGCTTCTCAGGCTTGCAGACAAAGAAACACATCAAGACATGTACCTTGACACCCCAAGGTGCCCAAGGTGGGGGTGTTTGGAGCGGTTTTTGCAGGGGCTGGTGAATGGACTGGACACCCCGGTAGCCACCATTTGGCACCCCGTTACTTGTAGGGTATTCTGGCAGCACACCAGCCATTCCAAAGGAACAGTTTTTAGTCCCATCCAGCGGATGTTCTGGTTATACTTACCGTCCAATAGGTAGCCCCTCCAGTCGGAACTCCTGACCTGGTATATTTATCAGTAGACATTCCTAGGTCTTCAGACCCCTTGCGGTGCTTTCGGTTTTTCCTTCCACTTGCTTCCCTCTCAGGCACTGAGCGCTTATAGTCAGAGTGCTCGCGAGGTGGGGGTTCCCGGGGAAAACCCCCCACACGACCGGAGGACAGGAACCGAACCGGTGAAGAAACCGTGTGGGTCAAATCACAAGGCTCACCTTTTTTCAGGAAACACGGGTGTCTTCGATTGCATCACGTTGGGTAACCCGTGGGTTGCATCACGGGAAACCCCCACAGGATTTTGCTTGATGGCCCAACTGTCGTCGATGCTCTTCTTTTTTTTCCAAGTGGCACCTTGTTTGGGCCCTACTGTTCGTAAGGCGAGTTCTCAAACTCAAGATCCAGGACATCATCTAGAATGGATTCATGACTTTTCTGGGCCGCACAACCATTCTCCAGGTATGTTTGCCATTGTTTCTTCACTCACTTCCACTCGACCTTTCAACGGTTCCAAAGGGACCAACACCGGACTGGGGGTCTCGGGACGTCGCTGAAACGGATCGCCCCAGGGCATGAGCACCTTTGCGCATCATCCATAACTCACCTAGAAAGCCTGGTGGGTTGGTCACTTCAATCAAAGCCTGTCAGCCCAAAAAAGGACAGCTGCGGACTGCTATTGACTTTCTTGGATCCTTGAGCAAACATCTTGAGCAAACATCGGATCCGAACGTGAACATGACCCGTTTGGTCTCACCTCTGTACCGGCAACGTGTGAGGTCGGTCGCCGCAGTACCTCGCCGCGCCCACCTCTCGCAGAAGCAGGTCTACATGTCCTAGTTGTTCTTAGCTCGGAACCCTAAGTGTAACCAGTTTTGGGAGATTTTGCTAAGAATCCACGTGTTTTTAGTGTTACTTCTGTAACCGAGCAAAACATCCCCTGTGCCCCGAGATGTTTGGGGCGTCCCGTCCGTCCTCGGTGTACGCCAGGCCTGCCCACTTCTGCAGGGGCCACCGGGTGCCAATGATGTACCGGACTCTTTGCTCCTTGGCCCAGGGATTTTGGAAAATCGGTCGCCTGGCTTCATTTCTGTTTCTTTCTTTTGGGTTAGAAGTGCCCCCAAAAACGGTTTGATGATGATGTGCCCCTTTTTTCTGAGTTGGCTGATGTTTTCCGGTTGAAACTTGTCAGAGCCATCACCGATGCTTTTTGGACTGGAGTTTTACTAGTGAGAAACCATTCTTGGTGGGGAGTTTTCTCTTTGACCAGTTGACGATGCCTTTGTCGCCCTCGCTGTCGCCAAATCAGCTTTGGATTTCCAATCATTTGGTCAGAGTCAGGTGATCATATATTGGAGGTCGTCGAATGCCGGCTTGCTAAAGCCGCAAGAGGGGTATTTGATGGTATTCCTGGTATTCCTTATCATAGGGGGTATTTGTCGCAGAAACATCATCATCATCATCATCATCATCATCAGGGTGGCCTCCAAACCCAGATGGCCCAGTCTCACTCGGCATGCAAATAAACCAGCACCTTCCGACGTCAGGGTCCACCTGGCTCCACTTACTCCAAAGCCACAGCCTCTGGACACCATAGCCATGGCGAGAAGTCTTCCAAATGAGTCTTTTGGACAACAGGCCTCAAAACACGTCCCCCCCAAGATAGCAACCACATGGTAGAGGGGAATAACACAGTCATCCAAACGGTGACTTTCTGTGTTAGAAACTGGTAAGGGTATACACAAAATGAACCCAACCCCTTTGGAATTAGATCAAGCCAATCAGGTTGTAGGTCAAAACATCCATCCGCTAGATTGGAGCCACCTACTCCCGGACTACCTTCCGAGAAACAATGAAATTCATGGACATTGCCATTGAACATCGAACTTATCAGACCCACCTGCCTACAGACGACCCACAACACAAGTGGATTCTCATCCCAGCACCTCAAAATGGCCAGGATCTCGACCCACTGGGCCACCTTGCGCTGCATGCGTTTCAGAGGCCGCTTCTCCGGCATCACGTGTTTGAAGTCGAGGGTCGGTCGGGTCGGGTGAGTAGCGTCTTGAAGAGCATGAGACATGAGTATCCCCAAAGCTTGGTCTTGCTTATGTTTCGGTGGCCATTCTGTTCATCTTGGGTGGGCTGCGACTGACAGCAACATCTTGTTTGTGTTCGTGTCGTTCTGGAGGGGGACGTGGAATCCTTCGACCCCATCAGAAGTAACCCAGAGGTCTTGTGTCTTTTTTTCCAGGACTTGTTTCCAAATGATTCCATCCATCGTTTTCTGTGGCTTGACTCTGGGTCTTTTTGGTAGAGCCATGGGGTAGAAGATGGTAGAGGGACGACTGAAGGCTTGGTCGCCGCCTCCAAATGCTCCCATGGACCCCAAAACCACTGGGTAGAATTGAGGACAATTGGTCGAAACTCTCAGGGTCCATGAGAGTCCGTCTGCTGGGGGTGTAGCTTTCAAGAACCTAACACCTAATAGCGATGGCCTCCAACCTAGCTTTCAAGAATTCCACAAAGGTGGTACTTTTAAGATCTTTTATGATGAATTCCACCTTTAAAGGTGGATCGATTCTCGCTGGACTCTTTGGGCACCACCTTTTTTATGCCGCTGCTCTCGTGAAGCTCAGGAACTGCCAGAGCAGGGAAGTCTGAAACCAACACCGGTGTGGGTGATATTTTTGCGAACCGTATGTATGACACGGATTGAAAACCTCATGAACGACCATTTGGCTTCGCCCCAATGAGTAGCCTATGGATAGATTGGTCCATTTCCCGAACCTTCCAAGAGGTCGTTGCCTGGGAGGTCTCCCCATTTGAGCTACCCATTTTGCTCTTCTCTTGAAGGTGCTAAAATGACCAATGGGCCATGGGTCAAGACCTCGGCTCCACACCGAGCTTCCTCTGTCCTGTCACCCTGATCGCCACCGATGCGAACCTCGTTTTCAGGCCTTGTTTTCGTCCACCGGTGGACCTCCCAGCCCGCGGATCGAAGAACATGAAAGGCCATCGGTCCGGTGGAAGGGACCCAGGCCGTGGGCCAGTCGAACTCGGTTCGTTCGGTTCGTGAGCCTCAGGTGGTTCTCTGGCCTCCTGGCAGCTGTCCGCCACAGCCACATCCTCCTCACCTTGGTGTGCACTACAGGAGAAAAAGCCGACCAATCACCGACGTATCCGAGGGGAGGGAGACCCATCCAGCATCAGTTCAAGGATTCACAACCGCATGGTAACCATTCGAATGTGGCCTGTAGGGATTTATAGTGGTCCCCAAATAGATAGAAACGGTTTCCACTACATTAGTGGGGATCTACCTTTTCTATCTATATGGGGGGTCATTCCCCACGGTTTGACGGAGACCGGGTCACATCCGGTCGAGTCGGCTCCGGTCAGTCTGATTCTGTCCCTGCGGCCTGCTCCGGCCTGGAACTCCTGGACAGACTGAATACTCGAGCCTTGCAGTCTAGAAATCCAATGCTCAGAGCTTCTTCTCTAGCTCGTCAGGTACTTCTACCTCCCAGAAAAGCCCACCAGCCATCACGAAATCAGAAAAACATTTGGCTGATGAACCAAGTACTTACGACACCCCCTAGCACACCACCCAACTTTTCAATCTTGGTCTTGGTCTGTTCACACCCCAGGTATCCCCAGCTTACATCATGTTGGCACCTAGAAATGGAAGGAAATGGATGCTTTCAATCTTTTTTGCCGCCCTGCGATGTGGCCATGGTGCTTTGGCGCGTGGTGGGCGGCACCAGCAGTGGCCTGGTGGTGCGGGAGCAGCTGCTGCTGACGAGCGCCGCCAAGGAGCAGCGGTTGCAACATGGCGCTGTGGTGGAGGAGGCGCTCGGAACCGGTGGGTCTAGGTGTAGCGGGATGTCCGTGTGTGTTAAAAGGCGGTGACCGTCATAGATCTGGCATGAGTCATGCTTTTTCAGAATCCATTTAGTGATTTCTACGTTGTCCAGTAGAATCCACTTCTGCTTTATAGCGACTTAGTGTTGAGAATGGTGGAGTCACCCAGCTTGGCACGTGCGGTGCAGAGCGGTGCACCTGCGGTGCAGAGCGCGCCCCGGTCGAGGTGACGCTGATTGGTGGGCGCTTGCAGTACCGGAAGCGACGAGGACAGGGCCCTGATTGCGGATGGGCCAGCTACTCAGAGTCTTAGAGCTATTCTCGGAAGGAGCAAGAGAAACCAGTGAGAAACATTACATCGTTCAATTGCTGCTGAATGGTATTGATCAGTTTTTGTTGCTTTCTTTTTTTCAGATCTCCTCACTTCTGATCTACGCTCCATCCTGCTTATCATCTGAGAAGCTGTGGGTGGAACCTGCGGGAAGCCGCAACCTAACACGGTCACAGTGTCATGGGATGCCATTGACACACTCCAAACGCTGCTTCGGTGGAGGCTGAGAAGCTCAGTACTACCCTCTTTCACCTCTTTGGCCAAGCCACCGCCCAGCGCGTTTGACCCATTCACCGAGACGCGCGCACGACACTCCACGCCCACGCCCCACGCGTCGTGCGCTGAAAAACCGCAAGCGCTCGAGGTGAGCCTGCAGCTGAAGGGCAAGCGCCTCCTCGAAACCTTGGACCAATGGCCATTGTTTGTGCCCGAGACCTGGCCAAAGATTGGAGAATTGTGAGAATTCGGCGCGTTTTGGCTGGAAAAGGATTCCGTAGTGGATTCTTAGTAGTGGATCAATCAAGTTTGTAGCCCTCCGAATCCGGCAAAGGAACATAACTAAAAGCTGTGGGAATCTCGTTTTTCCCTAGTTAACCCATATTGTGGATGTGTTGATCTGAACTTCGTATCAAAAAGCAGCAGCTTTCTCAGTATTGTGTCCTTCCTAGACCAGGGCCATGTCGGGGGCGATTGATTGGTTTCACGACACCCTGCTCGTATGAGCAACATCCAAAACCAGCGATGACCAAATGAGCACACACCAGCTGTTCGCGTAATACAAAATCATGGCTGAAATCTGGAAAGGGAATAGGCCCCCATTACTGGTACTTTAAAAAGCAATCACCATGTCAATGCACTTTTTGGATGTGTTCAGCTATGTTAAGCAATAGCCTTGTCGATTTCCCTTTTCGTTAACTATCGGTTTGGACGCTCATATGGAAGTCTTCAACAAAACGACACATTTTTCCGTTTTGGGGTTTCCCCAGTACGACCCGCACTTGTGTCTCTGCTTTTGCTCTCCTATTAGATCCTATTAGTATTCCACCTAGGACGATGAGGAGTACTGGCAGCGGCACTTGACCTCGGAGGTCTATGAGGTGATGCGCGAGAAGGTTACAGAGCCCCGAAACAGCGGGTGCCTGGGCGTTGGCCTTCCTTTGTGGGTTAGTGGGTTGGCTGATACCAGGGGCACCAGCAGGCGCTGCTGCTCCCTCGCATTGTAGGTGTCATAGGGCTGCTTTCTGTTTCTACACCAGACCATCATTTGGCACTTCTGGAGTTCTTACCTCGAGCATTATATAGATGAGAAAGAATTGAAAAGGTGTGGTCTCCTTCCTTTTTTGCGTCAAAAGTCCAGCACCACCCCTAATTTTCAAGGTCTCACCCAGATGTGGGCTTTCACTAAAGACGGTGTTTCCTGGACCGGAGTTTTTTTCTGCTCAGGAAGTACATGAACTTCTACCCCGAGCGGGGACATTTTCGACGCTTGACTTTGAGTTGGAAGGGAGTTGAAGGGAGGTTGATCGCGACGGCGATGGATCGTGGTGGTTTGGACAAGTTGGTCGACTCACGGCCTGTCCGGTTTGATTCGCAGTAGATGGTTGCAAAGAACAGTTTGATGTTCGATGTTTCACTATTCAGAGACTCATTGGCAATGAGTCATTGCTGCTCCTTTTCTTTGATGATCTTGGTCCCAACATTTTGAGTCCTGGCACAACAAAAAACAGACCCTCTGACAGTCCAACCCATGTTTACTACCTCTGAAAAGGAACACCAGACTTCAATGCAATCAGGATGTTTAACATGGAACATGCTTATACCGATATACAACATTGCAAATCAAATATCCTTGGTGTACAATTTGTTAACGCGTTATTTTATGTGTATAAATCACATGTTCTTTGCCAGGTTGCCTTCGTCTATTCCAGACCAACCCCAACCCCCACAACTTACCTGAGGCTGTGCAGCTTGTGAGACGCCTTTGTGCCGCGGAGAACAGGGGAGTGATGATTATCCAGGGTGCATCACTGTCGTTTTCCAATTCTCAAGGATTTCTATCATACCCCCAGGAACTACTCCAATTGCCCGAAGGGTGCGTGTGTGGCTTTCCGCTTGCCCCACTCATTCCTGACTGATGACTTATGGGGACGACGTCGACCAAGATGCTGGAGTCAAGCTTTTTTTCAACCTCCAACTGGGGAAGCCATGTGTCATCACTTGACGTTATCCATAGAAGATACCCCAGTTGCGGATTGGTAGAAAAGAATGGTTTTTGATTGTTGCGCTGTGCTTTTGAGAGTTGTATGCCAGTCGGTGCAGGACAGCTAGCATCAGCTGGAGGTTACTGATTTTCACATATGCTTCAGCATTGCAAGTTGCGGAGTGTACAAGATCCAGACGGCCTACTGGGATATGATATCGATCTTTAAAGAATTTTAAAGATGATTCTGATAAGAGGGTTCTACCGTGATCCAAAAAAACCGGAGATAATAGCGAGATGACATCCACTCAGATTTACAAGGAGTGACACGCCCCTGGAAGTTGAACAACGACAGGACCCAGGAAAACCAGTGCTGTGATGCAAAACGACTGGACCAGTGTAACTGCGTGTGGGTCGATATTCATGGGACCAAGTTCACCTTCAACAAGAACACAACTATCTCGAGTCTGGAGGCAAAACTATCGAAAGAATATGTGACATGTGTCCTCCTGCACAACTCTGACTTGATGTCACCTCCCATGACTTTGGTCTCTTGAAACATCTCCAGAGTAGACTTGTTCTGCTATCAGGTGCTGGCTGGTTTGTGACTGTTATGGGAATATGACCAGTCAGGTAGTATCGATTCAGCGCCATGGTCAATGGCCTAATGTTCAGCTATCACAATCCGACAAGGTGGCTTTGTGGCTGTCCTAGAGATCTGCAACCGCAGGCTTCATATGAGCATGTCTCAAGGGTTAACTGACTCACAGAAGCCTAAGTATTCCAAGGTGTTGGCTTTCCAAAAGATATGTGGCATCCATTGAACTCCAACTTCAAGACTTCATGTCTGAGGTGTTCACTACAAAAAGAATACAACAGTAATTTCTGTCCCAAAGCTAATGTATAGTAAATGATCATCCATTCTTCTTGATCTACCCAACAGCAGACTGGAACGCCCCCTTGGCCTTGAAGGTATTCGTCTCAATCGAAGATGAAGACCCACTGCGGCTGGGCAGCTTTTGCGCGGTGCTTCATCATGGACGACCGGAGACAAACATCTCCCGGTGCGGCGGTCGGGATCGAGTGGATCGGTGATCGACCATCAGTGGTGGCGCAAGTGGATTGGATCTTTGGCTGGGAAGCAAATGCATGGAGGTGGTAAGTGGTATTTCAAAGCAAGATTGGTAATCTAGTTCTGACTGTATAGTTCTGCAACTTGTTTGTTTGTAGCCTAGCGCTGCATATCCAGTTCAAGTGACTTAGCCTTAAAGTCTTGCCTGGCCCCTGGCTCGCGGATCAGAACAAGGTCGACCTCTGAGTGTTTCCTCCGTGAGGTCCGTCACAGGGCGGAGCCAGGGACGCGACCGGTGGGACAGTGACACCAATGGAACCAAGGGCTGTTGGGCGTCGGCTCCAAGGCTGTTGAGGCCCAAGGTTGTTGGCTCCGGGGTGGTTGCGGTTTGACAAAAGAATTCCAACACCATGTTGCCATGTTGGACCGAAGATCCAAGGAGAACTGGACTTGGTGAACTTTGGTTGATCCAAATGCTCCACCCTCCCGATTTGAAGGCGTTGAACGGATGGTGGACTGGAGACAAGGATAGTAAAGTCATAGTCTATTCCTCAGTAATCGTCTACCTATAGTCATAGTTGATAAACGTAATTGGTTCTATGTTCTACTATGCGTTCTTTTCATTCGATCACCATCACAATTAATTAATCTATATTATATATTTGGGTTTGGGTGATCAAAAAATCACCCGAACACCTTGGGATATTCAAAGGTTGACCATGTGTTTTGGCCAACCAGTTTTGTTCCTCATTTTGGGTGGCCAAGCAGGGATGGAAAGGGGCGTGACCGCCGCTTCATCTCCAATCATATGAGGGTGGCTTTCCAGTTTAATCTCCAAGAGTCATAGGTGTGGGCCGCCCAAAACAGTGGGAGGACATCCTTGGTAGGCGAACTTCATTTTCGGAGGTCACCCCAAATAGCGAGTTCATCTCAATACCCAGGCAGCACCCATGAGACTGGAATACTATATATATATATATATATATTGCGGGTCAAAGTTACATTTCCAGTCCCATGGAACGGGTGAGGATTCAGTGATCTTAGGTATCAATTTCACAGATATATTATTCTTATTCCCGCAAACAAATCCAATTCCCATGATGTATATAGTCATGTCACTCATGTCGTCATTTCTGCTGGTCATTCCTTTTTCCGACATCGAGGATTTCGGGTGGTCGCGAGATCCTTTGCCGCCACTGTGGGGGGGCACCTGGGCCACGTCTTCATGGACGGCTTGGCACTGGGTGGTGCAGTGCCGGAACGGCACTGTGTGAATTCCCTCTCATTGAACTATGCCACCTGTCATGCATTCGGATGGGTGAATGGCAGTGAATGGGTGGATCATGGTGGATCGATGGAGAAGAAATCGATTTGCAGTGCAACTTTTGGTGTTTTTCTTCATGGTGGGGGACACCCCAGTGCAGACAGAGTCCCAAGCACTTTGGCCAAGGTTGAGGAGGCCTTGGACCTCCAGGAACTGCCCTGCGACCTCAGCACGTTCCACCGCCAGCTGCGAGAACACAGCAACGCCGCAGCATTTGGTATGAGAAATGGTATGACATGGTGGTGTCTCCGCATTGTTTGGATTCCGTCCTGAAGCATCCATCAGCGGTCGATTGGATCCATTTTCATCCTACTTCTAAGAAAACGGCGTCCAAAGTCCAAAGTCATCAAAAGAACAGCCCAAATACACCGAAACCAACAGAACGTCCATGTCCGGGCCATGTACTGACCCTCAACAAAAACCTCAAAAAAACAGTAAAAACAACAATTATATAGCTCTTTTTGGGGTTCATGGGCAGCTCATCGCTTTTCAACGCTCATCACCACGCGCCCACTCCCCGGCCGGGGCCTCCCTCGATGGGGCTCCCGGACCGAGAGGACGCGAGATGGACCGATGAGGTTCGGGGGTCAATCGGGGTCAATCAGACATTGCCGCACCTGTGTGCTGTGTGTTTTGTAAACCAACCGCAGATGCATTTTCAAGGGAATCCAAAAAAATCTCGCTGATTCTTGGAGGCCGGTCGGGGGAATCCTCCACTCCTTCGGTCTCTCTCTCTCTCTCTCAGGTGAAGATGGGAGCTATTCTGGTGTGATGGACCGGTGAAGGGTGGAGCCGGCGAGCTCGGAAGCCGGCGTCGAGGCGGGGTGTTCTGTGCACCCTCGGCGACCGGTGTTCGGCATGGGTCGAGTGTTTGAGTTTCATCGAGTGTCTGGGTGATGGGCCCTGAAGGGGCTGGATTTCGTTCACAAAGAGGTGGAAGGTTGGGTGAACCTTGGGTCGGGAGGTGCAAAGAGCTGCGCCGCTGTGGGCTGTGTTGAGTATTGTTGGGAGTCATTTTAGATGGTTCGGTCGAACACCTCTTGGGGCACGAGTGAACCCACAAAGTGAACCCTGACTCCGGAGGAGCAGAGATGTTGTGTTTCTTTTGGGGCAGGTCAGTTGTCAGTTGCAGGTTGTCGAGCCCAGATTTGTAGCTGATTCAGTTGGGTCGGACCGGCGGTTGTCGGATGCACAAGCGAGCCTGACGTGGCCGGTCATGCGCTGTGCCCTCTTCGTTCAAGTTGATCCTTGCTTAGGGGGATGTTGAACCCCCTTCTGGGCAAGATTTTTATTGCTTATATTGCTTTTCCGGTTCCATGACAGCCAATTCAAGTGAATCAGGACTATCTCTGACCATTAGCTTGATGCTTTTTGGCACCCAAGCTGGCAAAACTGGTCTTCTGGACCCTCACCACGCTGAACTAAACTACCACCCAGAAGTTCCATCTTTGCTTTAATCCCCTTTGTGAGTGGGAAAACCGGGCATCCGGTCCCTCCAATCACCGACTATCACACGTACTGAACCGGGTGGCCCTACTTCGTTCCTGCCCAGGTGGCCACGTGCAGATCCCGCGCAGACGAAAAGGCACGCACGAGGCTGAAGCAAGCCGGGGCTGAAGCAAGCCGGAGAAGAAAAGGAGAGTCTTGGCAGAAGTGCATGGTTCCATTTTGTTTCTTGAATCCTTTAGAGTATAGTATGATATAGTGTGTGGATCGAGTATACCCCCAAAGCATGATTAACAGCATCGAATCATCCCTGATGGACTCTCTAAAGTGCCTATATTAGTATACTTAGTTTCCTTTTGGAGACAAAGATCATGCCATCGACTCTTCGCTTCCGCCCAGGTGGTTTCAACGAACGCCTCGGTCCCACCCGCCGATTGGACGTGTCCGATTGGACGGCGGTCAGGGAGAGGAAAGAGCGACGTGTGCAGATCGCTGCGGTGTTTGGTACTCGTAGCGAAACGAAAGCAAAAGTGATGGTACTCGTGTCGAGTCGGATTTGGATGTTCGTTTCTTTCTGAGCTTTCAGGGAGTGGACGGATTTCTTGACCATGGGCCACCTGCCACATGGCCGACATCAACAGAGTGTGATTTGGGTGGAGGAAGGTAGTTGTTCACTTCCATGCTTGTTGCAGGGAGGATATCATTATCGAATCCAACTGCGGCTGAAAGCAGGACCAACTGAGACGTACAACCATCCTTGTAGGACCTCATCCAAGGATATAATTCTGATCATAGTATTATTATGATATGATGAATATGTTCATATTCCTTCTCAGCCCCTTGATTCACGGCCCGCATCTTTGCCTTCGAACTTCGCCTTGTCTTCTTGCAATGACTCGTTGCAGTGTTCCGCACCTGGCCCTTCATCCTCCAGGAGCCTCGTCCTCCTGCTGTACCGCCCAGCATGCTCTTGCGTACAGAGCAAGAGGAGGCCGAGGTACCCCCGGGACGCCGCCTGCGCCGGTCGGCGTGGGGCATCCACCACGGGGCATCGGCCTGAGGTGCCCTACTGGGTGATGAGATTGACGATCCTTGTGGTTCCTTTTTGGTCCAAAGCGACCCCCGGATCCTTGTAATCTGTTTTTCTGCGTTCCTGGCTTGGTTGCACTGCATGGCACAAAAACGAGTCCATACAAGTCCCTTTCTTCTGAAGTTCCTGAGCAGCATTGATGATCATTTTACATCGTTAATCGACGTGATTGCTTTGATTTGTTGATTCTCCAAATCCGACTTTAGAAAGTCCCATCTGTTTGCTATTTGCTGCCTGCAGGCATCTCATCTGGACAATGTTAGGTTTGGGATCCGGGTGCCCTCTCAGCGCAGCAATGCGCGCCGGTTGCTTCCTCCAAATGGGCCGATTCTTTTGATATGATCCAAAGCAGACCCGTCTACATAACCTGCTGGAATGTTGAAAGCTACTTCCTTGATTCCTTGAACTGTGTATTCTTCGGGCGTTTCCGAGGTACCTGAGGGGTTTTCTTGACGGAGATCACAGAAACTCACCCACACATCTCCTTTGACACGTGGTCGCAAGTGGTCAGTCGGTTCCTATATTCCATCCTATTCCATCCTATTCCACCTTTCCTCCGTTCTCGGACTTGGAAGCTGGCCTTTTGGACCGCTGCCACCCCTTATGTTGGATCCAAAGGGGGAAGCTATGAACAACCAAAGGTCAATGGAGGGGCAACCAAATGGGCCAAAACCCCGTAGAGAGAACACGACTGGAAGACAAAGGCTGATTGAAAAAGAAAGCCACGACTCCTTGATGTCGATCAAAACCGGGCTCCCAAGGGTTTCGGAGAGCACCCATTTCCATCGTCGAATTCAAGTGCCGTGCTGAGGTGAGAACGTCGCCCCAGCCGAAGCTTCTTGAATCACCACCCAAAATGAGCGCGACCTTAGACCTTTAATATCCTTTAATAGACCTTTAATCTTTAATTTATAGTAGAACATGTGCAGGCACGCAGCGGCAGACGCTGACGCGCTTTTGAGTCCCCATGGCCACCTCCGTCCTCTTCTTCACAACAGGGACGGTGATGTCCCTGGGGACGAGGGTGACTTAGTTCCACACTGTAAAACACATCCAGAGCGTTCATGGGCCATCCCTTACCAACCCCCCGGGCCCCTTGAGCCAGATCAAGCAGCTGCTGATCCCTCTTTGGGAGGCCTTGCAGGTCGGATTCGGGGAGCAGAAAGGGAAGGGTCAGCAGGTTTCAAAGGGCCAGAGCAACTCTCTGAAATCAAATTGGTTATTTCGGGTTTGTCACTCTTCATCCTTAATCCTTCGGATCTAGGACGTATATAATCCTTCTTTCTGGATGTTCATTCTACAGTGCTTTCTTGAGATCGCTACAGGGAATGCGTTCTGGACAGCCTTGTGCCGGGTTGGCCGGTGGATGAGATCGAGCTGATGTGCCGTTGCTTTTTTGTGTCGGATGTCGAGCTCCCGATTCTGAGAGATCTTCAGATGACCCACTACCGAGTGAGACTCCGGAGAACTCCACGGAGAATCCCCCCCCTGTTGACGCGGCTTTCATGTGTTCAGGAGGCCTTCATCGGTCGTTGTTCTTCCTCACCAGCTCGGGTGGCGGTGACGCAAGATGGTCCGCTGGGTAGTAGCTACCGCCCAAGTGACCCCTAGCGGTGCTCCATGTAGAACCATCAACTCCAAGGTGTTTGAAGGGAATCAGCTACTATATACACGTTTTACCACTTGCTCCGTTATGCTCCGTTTTGACACGTTTACATGTTTTACTTGAGAATTCTTCCAGATAGGGATCATCCTCCCCCCCCATCATCCCGGGTTTCCAGACGGTTCGTCAGGAGGACTTGCCGCGAGGGCGGCCCTCAGGGCGCTTGGTCCGGGAGCCCACGGAGAATGAAAAGGACCAGGTTGGGAGCCGGCGGCTGGGAGATGTTGGGATCTCAGGTTGGTTGGGGGTCCTGTGAGCCTTGACACCCCACTCAGTGGCATAGCCACTTGGGTGCTCCTGCAATTCAGGAGGTATTTCTATCCACCCAGCCATCCAGCCACGTGGCCCGGGAGGGGATGAGGCCGGCCAACCACTAGGCCATCGTCTTCTGAGGTCCAGGCAGCTGGCGCTTACTTCCAACAGGAGCGCTTCTCTTGTGCAGAGGCGAGCAGCGTTCCGACACCGATTCTTGGATTCTTGTGTGGGAATCCGGTCATTGCAGGCTCAGGTCATTGCAGGGTCCACTGACTCATCAACTGGTTCTTCTAAAAAGTGCCTGATATCATGATATCTTGGACTAAGGACTAAGGTTGGACGTTTGTGTTCTTCCTTTTCGTCCCACCAATACCGTTGTGGCCTCTAAAGCAAGAGGGAGACACCGGACACCGGACGCCTTGGCCCCCCTAGACAAGGCCTCCTGCCCTCCTGGTTCAAACAACCTGTATCATTCAGGCGTCAAAATCAGCTACAAAACAGATCGGATCAAGAGTGTGTGTCTCACTTTAGCCTGTGGATCGGTAGCAAAAAAGAATTCACTTGGGGCGGGTGGCTGGACTTGGGGGCCAGTCATGGTGCTCCCAAAAGAGATCGAGCAAACTATCAAAGGTAGATTCCCCTGCAACATGAAACACCAAACGGATTCTTTGTGCAGGGGCACTGCTTTGATCGGTTTGAAGTTTGGCCAACGGAACCCGGAATCCACCAATTCTGCCCCCCAGATCGACCTGCTCCGTTGTATTCCAGGAGCCCGGTGTCAGAGTCTCTCACCTGTTGACTGGTTGGTAAAATGGGGTGGTTAATACCTCGCATGTCCTCGCATGATGAATTCCATAATCCAACCATCTGCGGTTGAAGCATGTTGAAGCGCAACTCGTTGACATCTTCCATCATCTTCCTACCCTGTTTAGAACTGAAAGCTCTTCACAGGTCGAAGCTGCAGCTGCTTTGGTGATTGCCTGGGCAAAGTTGATTCCAGCAGACCAGGCGAGGCTCACAGCCGGGCCAGACGGGCCGGCTGGTGCTTTTGGGAGACCAGAAAGGATCCTAAGGATCTTGGACCCAGGTGGATGGCTTTTCTACGAGATGTTTGGATGTTAGGGGGGCTCATGGTGTGTCGGGTTCGAAGATGTTTGACCCCCGGAAATTGAAAGGTTCCCAAGCCCTGCTGTCGCAGGAAAACCAGCCACCAAGCCTGGAGATGCTCATCATCCCACGAGTTGCAGTGGAGGACCTTGTCCAGAAACCAAAACAACAGGAAACACACGAAAAAAAACGGACTCCTCCGACTCCTTGGTCTTCACCAGGCAGTGATGGCCGTGGACGAGTCGCTGCGATCCTTGCGGTTTCCCCAGGCGGTCTTCACCAGGCCAGGATGGGACAGCTGGATGGAGTGAGTGGCTAGGAGAAGATGTTTTGGCACAGCAGCACCCAAAGAGACCTGAGGATATGGGTGATCCATGCCCAACTTTTTCTCTCATGACCTGAGTGACCTGAGATGGGGAAAGGAATGAGATGTTGGGAGATGTTGGGAGATGGCAGATGTTGGGAGCCGATGTTGACTTCTTGGATACCCCGGTGGGGTATTGGAGACTCCAGCTGGGTGTTCCGAAGAACGAAGGACTGGAGAAGAGGCAGGTTAAGATGAGTTGGGCGGAAACGTTGGGAAAGGGCATTTGAGGGGTACACTCTCTGAAAGGTAGCACGCTTTAGCTGCTTTTGGGGACATTTTGGACGTCCATTGCCCTAATGATGCTGAGGGATGAGGCTCATCACCGCTGAAAATAACATCATCCATGGAACAAACGTGGAAGCCATGAGAGGTGCCATCCAGAGTCGATTCTTTCATCAACAACTGCATCCCGTGGTTCAAGAACATATGGGACCCATTGGGACCCTAGCAGAACTTTTGACATCAACCACGCAAGGATGGAATTCCCTTGTGTTAGTCCATTTGCTTTTCACACGTCACTCCTGGTGATGTACACACATAGGTCGGTCCATGATTCGGATTCTGCGTGGCTGAAACAACGAGACTGCGAGACGCGGACTGCAGCGGACGTCGGGGCCCCTGTGACTCCTTGGTCCCCGAGTCACCGGGCAGCGAAGGACCGTTATAGGATTGGTTGGCCGAAAAGGCCACCGAGTCAAGGATAGTCAAGGATCACATGCTCCGGTTTCAGCCAACGGATGTCCTCTTGGATCCTCTTATAGACTTACTGATTAGCTGCAGGGAAGACGATCTTCAAGACAAACACATAGGTGTTGTCCGCTCGAATCGCGTGAAGATCATTCCGCGGCGCAGCAGAATGATGTCTTTCAGCCAGTTTGAGGTGGCCCATTTGGGAGCTCATGGGACGCTTGTCCCCCGCGCCGCGAGGCGCTTCCAAAAGGTGGAAGGTGAAGGATTGGGACGGGTGGAAGGTAAAGATGATCGAAGAGGAGATCCAGACAGAGCACCCGAGGTTGCTGGTTTGGCAACGAAACGTGTCGATGGAATTGGTTGGAAACTCTTCTTTCTGGAGACTGTTGTGTTTGCAATGCACATGCACACACCCCCAAAGAAGCGAGCGTTCTCCGGCCAAGAAGCAGGAGTCCAGATGTGAGATCTCCTCTGTCCGAAAGATCATTCTCGTGTGAAGCTCCTTTCATGCCAACCAACATATAATGTGAGTATCAATCCAACAACATGGCATGGGTCCTGGATTCCATGGCATGGTTTCCCTGTTCTCCACACCTTCACTGCCGAGCGACCAGCGCGTCCCCTAATCCGTCCACGACCAGCGCCACGTCACGTCGCCTGCCTGGACGGGTCGGAGGATGGAGCAGCACCAAAGGCTTCAGGGCCAACCTTTGCTCTTCGGCGCCACCGGAGCACCGCTGGAGTTCGGGTGGGTGAGAGGGAAGACATGATGAATACGGGTTTGGGGGCGTCCTAGAAGGTGTCCTACCCGAAGTAAGTGGTGCTGGTCGGAAGTAGGTTCTATTCTTTTTCGTGAAGGGAGCAACGTGGATCAAAAAGAGAAATCATGTGATCAATGTCCTGAAACAATATCTACTAGGACCATCCAATGTTGTCCAATGGACTACCCTACACTACTTAATACCACTTGGGGATCTCCATTGGACACCCATTGGATGGTCCTGTACTATACTGGCATTCCTTGAGCACGAAACATGTAAGTCTCACTCCTACACAAGCACTGGCGGAGCTGCCCAGGCTTGAGCTTTGAGCCCTGTAAGAGGACAGTGGCCTTCTACAAGAAGCAGCTTGGCTTAAACAAATGTGGGTTGGTTGGCGCGAAGCAGTGGTCTTCAGCCTTTGGGTTTGAGGGAGTCTGTGAACTCTCAGTTGAGACCTGAGAAGTAAGGACATTTCCAAAGGCACAGCAAAGACGGCTTTGGGTTCCCCCATGTTCCACATAATAGTGCGACAGCTGGGATCCAGTTATCACGCATCAATACAGATCAAATAGATCAGATCAGCTTCCTTTGGGCAACCCACAAAAAAGAATTGGTTCCATGTTTGTTCACTTGTGCCTGGGGTTGACAGCTTTGTCCCCTCTGTGTTTGATGTGAAAGAGAGCTGATCGGGAGCGGCCAGTATCAGCATCGTCAGGCTGCCTCGTCTCAGAAAATGATATCAAATGAGAGCAGATAGAGTACGGTATTTGAAAACGTATACTGTATAGATAGATAGGAGAAGTTGTGGCTGATTGATCATGGGTGTTATTTTGCCAGTTTCGATGGCCATTTTCTCATTTGAGCGTGTCAAACGAGAGAGTCATAGAGTATGACCCAATATCATCACAAGCATCCAGCAGGGGAGGCATCCATTAGGTGCTTCTGGCAGGTTTGTGTCCTTGAAACACCAGACCAGCTCAAAGCCACCCCTTTTGGACAGTGTTGGTCAATCAACTACATTAGCGCAGTTGTCTTTTTCCATCAGCCTCTTGACACTGGGATTTCTAGTAGATTAATCGAACTGGCCTTTTGCTTGATACACAGGGATGGCCTCAGACAAATTCTGGAAGATGAATGGCCTTGCAGGGGGGCGGTCTCTCAGTTTCTTTGATAGCCTTTAGATGCTTTTAGGAAGCGCCTATCTTTTCTCAGGTTCTCACCTCCTTCAGGATTCACACGTACTTCTCATGTGTAGCTCGTTTGAACCACCTCATCTGGGACTTTTCCGGCCTCTTCCGACTGGGACTTCAGGGGGAGGCCCAGAACCGCAGTCTCAGGCGCCGGCGGACGCGGGGGAGGCCCAGAGCCATCGGGTGCGCGGCAGGGAGCCATCGGAGCGTGGACGGTCAGCTTCTTGAGTTCGTGACGACATGGAGTCCCTGTTGGTCACCACAAGACATATCCCACTGAATGTGACTCCACCGAACCTCTGAACTGCGACCTACACGTGCTTGGCTTGGACCAGGTCTTTGGAGCCCACAGCATGAGAATGAGTTGAATTCTCTCCTTTTGCAAGTAGAGAGGCCCTGGACAAAAAAGAAGAACACATCGTGTTCTTTCAGCATGTTGGATATAGGTGTGGTCCCTGAAGTTTCAAGAGCAGGCCATCCAAAAATGTGTTCATAATTTGCTCGAAAAGAAGAGCTTCCTTCGGCCTTGTCCTGAAAATTTAACATCCTGGAATATGACCCAGGAAACCCGACAGAGGAACCACCCGGCCCGGGGAATAATGACTAAAGCATTTGGGCGGAAAACCATGCTATAGTGCTGCTAAGTTTGCCTTGCTTTGCACCCAAGAAGAGGAAAAGAGATACAACGGCCAACTGTTTGAACCCCTCGGAGACCTGTTTGAACATCTCAAACTAACGCAGCACTTGGCCAATCTTGGCGCAAACGTTTTGATGAGGGGTTTCTATACCAAATTGGTGGATTTGTTAGCGATCGCCAAGCTCTTTTGGAGATTTTAAGATGGGTCCTTTCTAGTGACACTGGTCAAGGTTCTTCCAACAGTATCAGCCGGCCGCTGGTGGCATCAAAACCCCGATGTATCTGATCCCCCGCACCGTTTTGGGGCGCAGAAAGGACAGCTGTCTCTCGCCCTTCGATCCCAAGGAGTCCGCCGGGTCTGTGGGTGGATCAGGTCGCGCCCGTGGTCGCCGAGGCTGGAGCACTTGGACTGTCCAGCGCCCTCGCGGATGCGCTTCACCTACCGCGCCTGGGCGGAGACGCGGGAGAAGCGCCGGAGGAGCACGAAATAGCGTGGAGAGGGTGCGGATGGCATGCGCAACATACGCGGCAGCGGTGTGGGTGGCTTCACATGGAACTGCCGACTGGAAGCAGCTGCTGGGGGGGTTAGGGGTTGTTCACATCACCAACTTGTGGTGGGCTGTGAACGAATTGCCGTGAGACTGTGGTATTCTCAGCGTTGCCCTTCTTACTTGACCATTCGATGCCTTTCTTCCCAATGCCTAGAATTCAGTCGGGTTGGTTTGTGAGGCGTCTTCGCAACACCTTGCTTGTACCAATGATCAGTTCGCATAATTAATATAATGTTTTTTCTTTTCACATTCTACATGTAGACCACTTGCTCGCCGTGGACCCCCCAACCAACCGGTACTTTCCAGAGTGAATGGTTGAAACGAAGCTCCATTTCTTGCGTGTCATGTACTTTAACAACGGGTATACACTATACTTTAACAACGGGTATATATATGATAGTAACTAGTATATATTACTATATATGTATACAATTCATGTACATACAATATACCATAGTATAATAGTGCAGCATGACACAGCATGATCTTATTTATGTAACACATAAATTATATGATAAGTATATCATACGTGCTTTAATATATGACATCGCATCTATACAAACATACACAGTATATGAATATGTCATATACATATACAAACATAGCATATACCCAGTCCCTCCAAATCCTTTGTGCGCAAGTGTTTGGGAAAACACCTCCTGAGGAAGGGTTTAGGGATGTTTAGGGTCAAAACCCTCCTGAGAGGGGTCTTGCTTCCTGAGTCCGGCCTGGCGCTCATATGGATCAAGGAGCAAACACTCATTTGCAATATCTTGTAAGCATTGGTCACAGCCAACGACTTCTGGTAACACCCTGTCAGGTTTACCAAGCTTTTCGACCCCATAAGATTCAGATGGCATCACTGAATGCAGCCCAGGTAATGGAAGCCCCCCGAATGGAAGACCATTTAAGGATTTTATCAGGAAAGGAAATCTGTAATCTATACGGACACTTAGATTGGAAGATGACCAATCCTTAGCTCAATGACGTTCTTTGGATAGACCGTTCTCCTTCACATGGTGCCATGGGGCTTCTCCGATCTGCTGCACTCAAAGGCGCTCTGGCGGGTGTGTGATGTGATGCCCTGGCATGTTTCGACATGAGGGTTGCACAAAAAGCAGCCCAGCCCTTTTCGCTTGCAAGCCGAAGCTTCGTGGCTCCGGCGCCTTAGATGGGACAATGGACCAGGGGGGGGTGGTCACCACCCCCCCCCCCCCCCCCGGGAAAGAGAGGGGGGGCCCCCGGGGGCGAATAAAGACGAGGCAAGGGAGCAGTGTTTTGGTGCCGCAGCCATTTGGTTCGCAGGGGTCCGGGGGCGATGCAGTGCACGTGTGGAGTCGCGCCTCGTCCACACATGTTCGCACGAAGTTCCTGGTCCTAGCAGGCCGAACAAACTTGTGGAACCTGGCTTCTTCGCCGACCATGCGTGGAATGGTGTTGCCTTAGCAAAGTAATCGGGCCAAGCTTCGTGGAAGGAATTTGTCGTGTATGCACTTTGCAGAAGCATTTCTTGTTGAGACCGTTTCCGTATACATCCTCCATGCTGCCATTGTTCTACTTCCTACTTTTTGACTTGGTGCAGCGACTTCCAAAGTGGCGTGATGTGCCCAGGTGTTGGCGTGCGCTCATGATACGGTGTGCTATCGATGCGGTGAGAGGCATGCCCCTGTCCCTGGGCGGCACTAGAACAAGATGAACTCTAGTTTCGCGCCTTTGAATCATTCTGTCGTGAGTCTGCACTTGGGTACCCGGTATATAGGGGCCGAGCCGCAGGAGGCTGTATAGCTCATAGGCCAGACACCGTGGAGCAGAAAGCAAAGAGGTCGGCTCACAAGCATCAACGCAACGTCTTGCGTGTCAGATCGCCTGAGTTCCTTGAATGCCCCCTGGTGCCGGTGCACTGTCAGGCATCCAAACGTGGTCGACAACCCGAGGACACAGCGAAGGCAGCCGTGAAGCCAAAGGCTGTCCCTACAAAGGACGGTGCGCAAAAGACGCGTTTTACGCGAACGTCGCGTTTTGCGCAGATTGCGCAAAAACAGGTTGTCGATCCGCGCGTTTCCGCGAATAATTTATGAGATATTTTTTGCGCGCGCGTTTGTGCGAAAAGTGTTTTAAGATTAGATAATTTATGCGCGCGCGCGCGCGCGAATGTTGCCTGTGTGGCGCGCGCCGAGCGCATCGTTTTCCCGTCGGTATCGATGCGCAACACGTGCTTTAACTCACCGTTTGGGTGCAACGTGTCCAGTTCGACCTTGTGGTGAAGATGCGCACTGATTGCAGAGTGCCCGGGTATACAGACTCGCACTGGGCGCAGGAGAAGTGTTTCTTCCAGCACTGCCAGCAAGAAGCAATACATGCTCTGAAGAAGCCGGACCTGCTGTCAGCGGTCAACCAGTCGTGGTTTCGCGGACCGTGACGACCTCAGATGTGATGTAGCAGGAATCACTAGTACTATGAGGTTCGGTGTTCCAGAAAGTGTGACAGCAGGCGCACTGTGTTCATCAAAAGTGCGGATTTCGTGGCGTGTGTTGGTTGGTTGGTTGGTTGGTTGGTTGAGAAGGTGTTTTGCCGCAGGGGGTTCACCTCAAAATGTGATTTCGTGGCAGGCGCGGGTGTTGGAGATGAAGTGCAGATTTCGTG